GGAGGGGTGGGTGAAGGATGCGGAGAGGGCGAGAGGGCGAGAGGCGAGAGGGCGAGACGAGGGCCAAAGGCAAGAGGGCAAGAGGCAAGAGAGGGAGAGGGAGAGTGCGAGAGACAAGGGTGAGAGGGTGAGAGGCAGGAGAGGGTGAGGGTGAGTGCGAGAGGTGAGAGTGCGGGTAGTGTCAGACGGGTGATGGCATGGCGCTGCCAGAGGGGCGCTAGGAGATATACGACGAGCAGATGGACAGCAATGTGGCCGTGTTGGTGGTGGTGCAGGTGAGGGGCTGGGCGAGCAGCGGGGGGGGAGTTGGGTCGAGATCCGAGTTGTTGGGAAGGTTGGATGGAGAGAGGGTGCAGGCAGGAGCTGGACGCCGGCCCACATCCCTAGAGAAGGGGAGGGGCGCACGGCGGGGTTGAGTCAAGGGGCCACGTCATCCGTGATGTGGGCTGGCTCTAGCACGACAAAATGTTTAGTTAGTTAATAAGAACATCAAAAAGTACTCTACTTACCTGTTTTGCGCATTTTCAGAGCTGGATGGTGAGCGGGAGAGTTGTGGGTGGGGTGTCGAGACGATGTTCAACCATTGTTGACTGCATTTCAGCTGTTGCTGCATGGCATCCGATTGGCTGATGAGCCATCGGTCCGATCCCCGTGTTCCACTCTCAGGAAACGGGATGCTCCTGTACTCAGACGTAGACCATTAAAACACAAAATAAGTATCGGATATTCATTTCAAGGTAGATAGAATAGTGTATGCAAAATTGTAAAGAGATCCCATCGTGATTGAGCTCATAATAGCCCACACAAGCTGTTTGCGTGGTGATTTCGGGTATCGTGCAAATACTTACCGGCCTATACAACAATAAAAATGAATGAAATGGGCATCATTACTCGAGGATTTAAGCATAGCATATGACCTCTACAATATTCATGTCTCCCCCAAGGTGTGACTGAGTTTTGAACCCGGCGATCTCCAAATGTCTGTTTCAACGGTAAGATTTTCATGGAAACCTATACTGCCAACACCGCACTTACATATCTCTGTTATGTCTAGACACATTCATGCCATTTAAGTTATGTAAATAGGCCCTAATGTATCTGTAGATCGGTACTCTATATCTAATTCATGAAAATTTCCTGCTGATGTCCTTCCAGGACGTCACGAATGTCTTGCTTGACAGCCGGTGTTGGCGGACCGGTGGCTCCAGCCAATGAGATCAAGCGGCGGAGTTTGCTGAAATGACAAGGTTCAATGTCGTCGAGTGTTGCTCTCGACCACCACCTGCGATGCCCCAACGTCTCGAGAGGCCCCACAGTCTCGCGCTCATCCCATGTAAGGTAAGTAATGTCGTTTTCTATCATTTAAACTACTTGTTTAGTACTTCATCAGCCCAGGAGGCCCCTTGTGTGCACCTACACCAACCACCGTGCCACGTGCCCCTCTCCTTCAACAAGGGATGTGGGCCGGCTTCTCTGTGTGTTGAGGTGACCCCTGGCCCTTCCTTTCCAACCTTGCACAACTCCACAGCTGCCCAACACCACTCTAGTACACCCCACAGCCGCCCAATGCTGTCCTCGCTCACCTTTGACGCCCCTCAATGCCCCACACTCCGACCGTGCCATGTGCCCCTCCCCTTCAACAAGGGATGTGGGCCATGTTATCTATGTCTGTGGCCGCCCACGTCCCTGCCACTGCTCCCTCACAGGACCCTGCAGCCTCCTGACGTCGCCCTCGCTCGCCTTCGACACCCCACGACACGACCTACCGATCCCATGTGCCCCATCCCTTCCGAAAGGGATGTAGGTGGCGCTTCTTTGTTGACGACAACTCCCTCACGACATGTCGGGTTTGATGGCCTCACCACCACCTTTACCACCTCCCACCCCATCATTCCGCAGTGGCAACATAAAATAAAAGGTGCAATGTGAGGTGAGGGCAAGGACTGGGTGGAGGACGAGGGCAAGGACAAAGCGGAGGGTGATGAAGAGGGTGATAAGGAGGGGAGTGAGGAAGGCGAAGCGAGACAGCGAGATAGCGAGGACGAGACGGAGGTGGGGGTGGGGCAGTGAGGAGATGGAGATGGCCAGAGGATGACAAACGGAAGGACGAGATGACAAGAGCAAGAGCTATCAACAGCTCGCCCTCTCCCTCTCCTCTCTCCTCTCTACCTCGCCGTTTTCACCTCGCCATCATCACCCCCCTCACGTTACGCCACTGCCCACCCTCATAGGATGATACCCAGTGGGGGCAACTGCCGCCCATAGAGCACAACAAAGCGACCACGAAGATAACGACGGTGACAATGACTGACTGAGCAGGACAACGACCCGTTGAAATAGAGGCAGGCTGAGATACTGGGATTACGAGAATGATTCACGGGTGCGAGCAGAACCAGCCAAGGTAAGTGGCTTTCCACTATGCCTCATGGTAACCCCTCACCCGCCTTCCATAGCCTGTCCAGCACTGTTGGCGTCGTCTGTGCCATTGCAGACAACACTGATGCATCTGCCATCCTCCTTTTCTAGACCAACAAGTTGCCCATCCGCACGTACCCACCTTGCACTCGTCCACCCGCATCAATCACACCCCCTGCACACCTTATCCCCCTCTTCCCTCGTACGCAGAGCCAGCGAGGATGGCAAGAAGCCATCCACCACGAGCATGGGCAAGCGACCATGGAGGTGACTTGGGCAGGAAAACCACGGGCCAGCCAGAACAATGACGAATGGCAAGCGCAAGCGAGTGATGAGGACGACACAGCGAGGACACCGAGGAGCCGGCCAGCATGGGTACCCGCAACCAAGGACGACAATGGCGATGGCAGGCGAGGGACGATGACAACGGTGGCTGGCGAGGGACAACGACAACAACGAGGGAGGACAATGAGGATGATGGCAGCGAGGTGACAGCGAGCATGTCAAGAGAACCGCGAGAGGACAACGAGGATGAGCACAGCACGAGTGCCAGCACAACACGAGGCATGGAGTGAGGGTGAGTATGGCACAGCAGGTCCACTCGAGCAGAAACGGCACACTCATGGCATCGTTTCGGCTCTCTTCCTCTCTATCTCACAGCGGGTGGCTCTACCAGCCACCCGCCTAGCATATTTATTTTATTACAATTTAATACAATTCTTTCGTCTTTTTTGCGATGCTCAGAGTATGCCCAAGCTTGCTGGACCCGAGTGTGTCTAAAAATAACTGACACCCGAGAAAACGCCGCATCATCCAAAACACCCCCACCCAATCCAGCCTATCCCGCCCCCCTGACGGCGGGGAAAATGGTGCACAACGATGGGGAAATATGTTTCCTCGTCGTTGGCAGCTTTTCCCCATCGAAAACATGGGCAGGAGCACCCCAAACGATGAGGAACAGTGTTTCGGCACTGTTTCCTGCATTGTTTGCATGTGTTGACAGGTCCTGCCCACAGGCGCGAGCCCCGGCACACCCAGCAAGGCCACTCTCTGTAGGTGGACTGTAAAACCACAGTCCTGATATATAAGGCTACCTTGTTTAAATACAGTATGTGATGTATTCTCGTGGCTTATAGAAGTGATCTATTATACATCAGGATGGGTAGTAGCCTGTTGAGCAATTGCTCAAGATGTTCTATAACAACATAGAGAGATGTGGTCACTGTAGGAGAGGGATGTGACTGATGCCAAGACTGATGGGAGGTCATGTGACTTTTTATTTGCCTTTTCCTTCAGGATCAGCTTCTGAAACTTTGATATTATGGCCTCAAAAGGAAACAATTAATAAATGGATGATTGCCAGGCTCAGACTTGGGATTGTTGATGAGTAATAAAGCCATCAAGTTTGCTGATGCCATCAACATCAAAGTTACTTGTGACAAATTGGACTTTGCAAAAATTTGCTCAAGTCCCCTTCTGCTATGTCTAGACAGGCACTAGAGGTGCCAAAAAAGCGAAATTGAGTGGTCATATGACCATGAGAAATTTCCTTTTTGGGAAGAAATGGTTGAAATAGAAACCCTAGGCCTAGATGACCCTGCCACCATCAGCACGACCTATTTGGCTCCATCAACAATGAGATATAAGCCAAACAATCCCAAAAATTGCAAAAGACGACCTGTTTTTTCAGTAATTTGCGTTTTTCTCACCAACCAGAGCAGCTGATGGCATCAAACAACTTGATTCAGGGTCGCCCAAAGATGCTCCACAAACCCAGATATTTTTTTCCCAAAAAGGAATGGTTATTAATCATCTCATTACATCCTCTATAAGCTGGGCTTGGGCAGTTGCCCACTGGGCTACTACCCATCCTGATGTATAATAGGTAGTGGGTAGTAGTCCAATTTGATACATATCACTGGTCACTACAGGTGTCTGCGGACGAATGGGCAGAACCCATAGTGGAACAGGACCTGCAGGTGATGTGTGGCAGGATCGAGACAGCACGACGGTCGAGTATGTGGCCCTAGTCATAGTAGGGTCTGGTGATATTGGCAAGATGCCACCGCCCAAGGACAATGAGGTGCTTGCCACAGCTGGTGGTATAGCTGGTGGGGCGGAGCCCAAGCCCCTAGGACGACTCCCAGGGGGTCTTGTGCCCTGACCTCTCGGGGGGAGGTTGGACATAGGTTGTTGGTGTAGTGCGAATGATCAGGTGGTGAGGTCTGGCGAGTAGATAACGTGTTGGACGATGAATGAGATGGTGAGCAGGTCATTTACACGTGTTTACAAGTAGGTGTTCAAGAGAAAGAGGCGCCTGCTCAGATTTACTGTTCACTGCAACCATTAAAGATGGTACTGGATACTTAGATGGACAAACTGTTGATATTCATGAAAATGTACATCTTGCTTCAATGCTGCCTCTTGACTTGACCTTGTGGCATAGACAGCTTGGACACCACAACCATGATGGGATTTGAAAGATGATCAATGGAAACATGGTTGATGGATTAGTACTGGACTCAAAGGCAAAGCCTGATCCTATTTGTGAACCATGTCTTGCTGGGAAGATGCATGCAAACCCATTCCCTTCATCAGAAACTAGGGCAACTGAGTTGTTGGAATTGGTTCATTCAGACGTACACAAAGTGGGCTCCAAATCATTGTCTGGACATCGCTATTGGATTTCGTTTATTGATGATTATTCTCGATTCAAAATGCTGGTTCCACTCCGTAAAAAGAGTGATACCTTTGAGGCATTCAAAACATTCAAAGCTTATGCTGAGAATCACACTGGAAAGAAGATCAAGCAATTCCGAGATGATAAGGGAGGAGAATACATGTCCAATGAGTGCCACAAGTTTATGGACCAATGCGGGATTGCAAGGGAGCATTCATGTCGAAATAGACCCCAGCAGAATGGTGTAGCTGAGCATGCCAATAGGACATTTGATGAGGCTGTTACTGCTTTACTTGATGAGTCTGGTCTGTCTAAGAGCTTTTGGGCAGAGTGTTTGAGTGCGCTTGTTCATGTGCTGAATCATTGCGATACATCTTCTGTTGAAGGAAAGACACCATATGAGCTGTGGCATGGCAAGAAACCTGATGTTGGCCATTTGAGGGTTTGGGGGTGTGTTGCTTATGTTCATGTCCAGAAGGATAAGAGGGAGAGCTTGGGTTTGCATATGCAGAAGTGTGTGTTTATTGGATATCCTGATGACTATAAGGGTTGGAAGTTCTACAATCCTGAAACACGAAAAGCGGTCATTAGTGAGTGTCCTGACTTTGATGAGTGGTACACTTACAGTGGATCAATTTGATCAATTTTGAAGCCAGGAAATGGAATTAGGGAGACTCCAGACACAGATTCAGAGGATAAAAGCAAACCAAGGCCTTTGATTCCCATGGATGATATTGTTGCACAGGCAGGGCTCAGCTCTCTCGCCCATTATCTCAGGGCTCTTCATTGCTCCAGTAATGAAGCTCTTCTATATCAAAGCAGCGCTGCTCAACACGACGCTACTCTCCTTTGTTGATGATGGGACCATTTTGGCCCAGTCCAAACAACTCAATGATAATAATGTGGGCCTGCATAAGGCCTACAAAATTATCTACCTGCTCTTTGCCACCTTCATGCTCGTTCTTGAACACAACAAGACTGAGCTGTTTCACTTTTCGTGTTGATGAGATGCTTACAATCCTTCATTGGATCTGGGGTACACCCCACATACTGGCGCTACTCCTTTGAAGCCCAAGACCTATTGGAGGTACCTGGGCTTCTACTTCGACTGCAGGCTCACTTTCCATGAGCACATCCACTACTATGCCACCAAGGCATTCACCACCGTGCAGGCCATGCGCATGCTTGGAAACTCTACCAGGGGTCTGTTGCCCAAACAGCGATGCCTCCTCTATAGATCATGCGTGGTTCCCATTGCTATGTATGGTTATCATCTCTGGTATTTTGATGGCGCCCGTAACAAAGACACCATGAACCAGCTCAAACGGATGCAGCGAAAAGCTGCTCTTTGGATCACGGGTGCATTCCGCCCCTCATCCACAGGCGGTCTTGAGGCCCTAGCAGGTCTCATCCCTGTTCATCTCATGCTGAAGAAGTTGGCCACGTGCACAGTGTATCACGTTGCCACCCTCTCAGACACTCACCCTCTACGCTCTATGATGGGTGAGAGACTTCTCAAATGGGCTGAACCCCATGCCCGCTCTGCCGCCTTGATGACCCCAGCCATGCGAGGAAAGGTCAAGAGCACTGTCATGGATGTGGACGAGCATGTCCACACCTTAACTGAGAGCTCATTGCTATTGCAAGAGCCAACCCTTTAACAGTACTGGCTGCAACCGATGGCTCTGTCCCTCAGTCCAACCAGTATCAGGCCGCTTCAGCTGCCATCATCTACAAGGGACATTGTGAGCTTGAAAGGACTTGCTATGTCTCTGGCAGGGTCACCGCCCCTGATGCAGAACTCAATGCCATTGCATGTGCAGTGCGCCTTGCTGTCTGTCAAGCAGGCAAACTGTCAACATATCATGGTCTTTACAGACTCTATGGACTCGGCCCATAAAGCGGTAGACCCTTCCGTGCACTCTGGTCAGGCTTTCAGTCTGTCAGTCTGTCGCGCTCTCCAAGAGTGGTTCGAGGTGGATGATCTCCGCTGCATCACCTTTATCTATGTCCCGTCTGCATTGCGGTGGGACATCCATGGTGAGGCGCACAAGTACGTCACCGAACTCAAGGTCAGGGTTGGACGTCGCAAGACAGACAATTCTATAGACACGCTCTGCTCTCGAGCCGCACACTCAGTCCTGGATTCATGGAGTTCCACCTTCCAGGATCCAACCTACAAGGGCTCTGAATTCTTAGAGCTTCAATGGCCTGACAGGCAGCCAATACAGCCATCCTATCTCAATGGGGGACCTTGGCTCTCAACATTCGGACACAGTATCACTGAGTTCGTTTGTGTCTGCTGGTGTATAACTGGCCACACACCCATTGGAGCATATCACCGTCGCTTCAAGATTAATGAGCCTCATGGCTGCACTTGTGGGGCTGCTTTGCAGTCTCGCCAGCACATCCTCTTTTGCTGCCGTGATAGATATTCTGTGCACTATCCTCGTTTTCTCAGGGATATTGCGTCATTTTTGAAGCACAACCCCACGGTGTTTGGCTTCAACCGGGACCCCTTGGGTGTCAGATAATCGCTGCAGGCGGGGTTATTCCTCCTTTTGGGGGATTTATTGGTGAATTGACACCCTCGAACCTTAGGGTTCGGAGACCTGCACCTGCAACAACTCTTTTGTGCAGGCAGTTGAACCTTTTGGTTGATTGCAGCACCGCTAACTTTCTGCATCTGGTTTTGGGCAGGCGCATCTTTGGCTTGTCGGCCTCAAGACACCCTGCCACCTCCCAGGTGGTGCGATTCTTATTTTCATTGCGCTGTGTGGCCCCTGAACAGCGATCGATGACTATGGGGTGTAGCGGGACCTCGATGGTCTCCTCCCCTTATCCCGATGCACTGTTTTCACAAGGTGGGTTGCCCTCTGGGGAGTTTAGGTGTTTGAGCCCAAAGGGTCTTGGTTGGGGGGGCGATCGTCTTTCAGTAGTTAACCTAGTACCTGGGTTGCATAGCATATATGTTCTGTAGATAGCAAGCGGACTGCCATCAAGCACCGCTATATAAATTGTTGATCAAAAAAAAAAAAAAAAAAAAAAAAAAAGATGATATTGTTGCACCACCTGCTGTTGTTCCAGCTGCACCAGTTGAACCTCAGCCTGCTCAGCAGCCAGAGCAACCAGATGTTGAAGAATCTGAAAATGAGGTTGAGCCAGAGCCAGAAGAAGAACCAGAAGCACCAGCAGCTCTAGAGCCTGTTCCAGAGAGGAGAGGCACTGACAATGATCCAATTGCATGGCAAAAACCAACTCGGACTTGGAATCCTCCAGGAGAATGGTGGAAAGTCAAACCTTTGTCATTGGCACAGGAAGAGGAAAGCGACAATGATCATGAATAGGGAGCTCATGTTACGATTATTCTGGAGCCAAAGTCATACTCAGATGCAATGAAGGGACCTATGGCAGACAAGTGGAGAGATGCAGCAGTAGAAGAACACAATTGACATCAAGAAAATCGCACATGGGACATTGTCAAACTACCTCCAGGAAAGTCAGCTATTGGATCTTGTTGGATATGGAAAGTCAAGTACAAGGCAGATGGTGAAATTGAACGGTTAAAAGCACGCTTGGTGGCACAAGGGTTCAGCCAATGACCTGGCCAGGACTACTTTGAGACATTTGCATCTACCATGAGGGCTGCAACACTTCGCATTGTATTGGCACTAGCTGCAATTGATGACATGCATTTACGTTCTGTTGATATCTCATATGCATTCACCAATGGGGACATTGATGTTGAAATCTACATGAAGCAGCCTGAAGGGTTTGTGCAATTTGGCAAAGAGTATGTCTGCAAGCTGAACAAGTCTCTGTATGGGTTAAAGCAATCAGCATGGTTATGGAGTGAGAAGCTCACCAAAGTCTTATTGGAAATGGGATTCAAGAAGACCTACAGTGATGCTTCACTCTTCATCTTTGATCCACTTCTATAAGCCATAAAAATATATCAGACACTGTATTTAAACAATGTATGCTCATAAGTCAGGACTGTCAGTTTACAGTCAGTTAACAAGGCAAATGAGATGATTAATAATTATTTATTTTTGGGAAAAAGGTATCTGGGTTTGTGGAGGACCTTTGGGTGACCCTGAATTAAGTTGTTTGATGCCATCAGCTGCTCTGGTTGGCAAGAAAAACACAAATTACTGAGAAAATGGGTCATGTTTTGCAATTTTTAGGATTGTTTGGCTTATATGTTGTTATTGATAGAGCCAAATAGGTTGTGCTGATGGTGGCAGGGTCACCTAGGCACAGGGTTTCTATTTCAATCATTTCTTCCCAAAAAGGAAATTTCTCATGGTCATGTGACCACTCAATTTCGCATTTTTGGCACCCCTAGTGCCTGTCTAGACATAGCAGAAGGGGACTTGAGCAAATTTTTGCAAAGTCCAATTTGTCACAAGTAACTTTGATGTTGATGGCATCAGCAAACTTGATGGCTTTATTGCTCTTCAACAATACCAAGTCTGGACCTGGCAATCATCTATTTATTAATTGTTTCCTTTTGAGGCCATAATATCAAAGTTTCAGAGGCTGATCCTGAAGGAAAAGGCAAATAAAAAGTCACATTTCCCTCCCATCAATCTTGGCATCAGTCACATTTCCCTCCTATGACAATGATGTTCTAGGAGCATACTTGTAAAAATACAGCATCTGATACATTTTCATAGCTGGTAGAAGGGGACTGTAAACTGACAGTCCTGACTTATAAGTATACTTTGTTTAAATACAGTGTCTGATATAGTTTTCTAGCTGACATGGCTGTTTGATCGAGATGGTATCAAGATCATTCTGCCTGTTTTTGTGGATGATATGACTCTTGCTTTGAGATCTGAGGAGGCATTGGACAAGTTTGTTGCTGAGTTCCCTACTCACTTCAAACTCAGGGACTTGGGACCAACCAAATTCTTACTGGGTGTAGAGATTGGACGCAACAGGGCAGAGAGACAATTGACCCTGTGTCAGCATCAGTACATTGTCAACAAGTTGGAGGAATATGGAATGGCTAGTTGCACATCTGTTGGTACACCCATGGTCCCTGGTCTGAAGTTGTCAAAGGAAGGCTGTCCAACAACTCCAGAGGAAAAGGCAGAGATGGAAAACATCCCTTACATTAGTGCTGTTGGATCCCTCATGTATCTGGCTACAATGACCCAGCCTGATATTGCTTATACAGTGGGAGTACTGGCAAGGTTCAATTCCAACCCCGGAAAACTGCATTGGCAAGCTGTCAAGCATTTGTTCCGATATCTGAAAGGCACCTTGGATATGAAACTGGTTTATGGCCCTGACCCTGCATTGGGGAAGAAATTGTTTTGGACATACAGTGATGCAGATTTTGGAGGGGATAAGGATAGAGGGAAGTCAACAACTGGGTATATGGTGAAATTGGGAAGGGGAGCAGTGTGTTGGAGCAGCAAACTTCAGTCAATTGTGACCACATCAACCACAGAGGCAGAATATGTTGCAGGACTGGCAGCAGGCAAGGAGATATGTTGGGTGCAGAACATCTTGACTGAATTGGGCTACCATCCTGCTAAGCCTTCAAAACTCTACATTGATAACCAGTCAGCATTGTCTGTGACCAAGAATCCAGAGCATCATGGAAGAATGAAGCACTTGGATATCTCATTCTATTGGTTATGAGATCAAGTAGAGAAGTAGAGCATGGAGACAATTCATCTGCCCACAATGGAGATGCCAGCAGACCTGTTGACAAAAGCATTGCCAAAGCCTCAGGTGGAGAAACTGCAAAATATGATGGGCTTGGTTGCATGAGCTGTTTGGCTGTTTGCTCAGGGGGTTGTGTTTGTGGGTGATCAAACAGTTGGGGGGTTGTTTTAGATTGAAGAAGTGTTTTCTCAGGGGGTTGTGTTAGAATTAGTGAGAAATCACTTCATGGACTCTAAATGGACACTTCATGGACATTGTAGATAGATCTTATTTCGTTAATATCTCGTCACACACATTGATTCTCATTGTGTTTGTTCCATAGTTAATCTCATCTTGTCGTCCTGAACTCATACATACTTGTTTCATCTCTGTAGCTTAAGTAGATACTTCATTAGACTTGTTTCTCGCTCTAGGCATGGTTTCTGGATGTCCGCCCACACTTGGAGGCGCCAGTGCACAACTCGACCAAACAGGTCGGATTTCCTACCATGTCCTGGAAGCAGGTACACTATGATTGAACTGTTGGCTTAAACTTGCAATACACTTGATTATTCACCTTATCATTGGTTACTGCGCTTATTGTGATTGTTGTGTGATCAGTGTATCACTATCCACTTCGTTGCATAAGTTTAACATCTACTGCAGATGGTACAATAATTATTCAGGGATTTGATAATGAGTGCATTAAGGCTGGAGCATCAGGCCATCTAAGGCAGGAATTTCGAGAGCTTGAACTACTAGATGAGATTACTCTGCAGAGATTTCTAGGAAAGCTCCCAAAAGAAATCAATGGATCTCTCCATAAAATCCTTCTCAAGCAGTACAGAGAGTTGAAGGGACAAAACTACTGTCCTATTAAGGTTGATTCTGCTCTACGATGGTCCTCCTCTGATCCAATGATGGTAATTGAGCCTGTTGATGATGCAAAATGGACTACTGCTATCAAGGCCAGTACAGACTCTAAACAAATGCTTGCTAACTACATTTCTGCTCAAGGATCCAATCCTATTACTGCAGCAAAACAGACTGTGAAGCGGAAATTGAATTCTGACAACAATACTAAACCAGCTAAACGGCAGAAAACAAAGAGTAAGTCTCAGAAAATGCCTCTTGGCTTGAAATGGGACTCTGTAGACTATAGCTGCTCATATGATTCTCTCTTCACTATTCTCTTTTACCTCTGGTCCAGAGGTCCAACAAAGTGGTCGTTCCATCTATCAAAATATCTTCCCTATGGCCAGCAGCTTTCAAATGGATTTTCAGAAGTTATATGTGGCAGAGCTGGATTTGAAGAAATTTGTGACAGAGTCAGAAAGAATCTACATACCAGAAGTCCTCAAGCATTCCCTTATGGGATGACTGGAACAGATGTACGTGAGTTGGTAGGCACACTCGTTCAAGATGGACAATGGCTTGGGACTGGACAAAAAATATGCAAGTCTTGTTCTTCTACTACAGAGTTGGATACTGCTCCTCAGAGTCGTATTTTTATACCGTCATCAGCTGACAAAACTGTGAGCGCTACCTTTAAAAATTGGCAGGCCTCAGAGGAACATTGCAAAACTTGTGGATCAAATGCACAAGTCCAGCGGCTATACAATGTACCTCCAAAGATCATTGTATTCAATATTGAGGTTACAGGAATTGCAATTAGCAAATCAGTCAAGTCACATACTATTGATGGAAGAAAGCACATTCTTCCACTCCGAGGTGTGATCTATGCTGGCTCTAATCATTTCACAGCCCATATTATTTCAGATATAGGAGATGTCTGGTATTATGATGGAATTGAAACTGAGAGAAATTGTATTCTGGAGGGTGCTGTGGCAGAATATACTGATAAAAAGCTGATGAAGTGCAATTTGAGGCGTGCTGTGTGCGCCATTTATGCCAAGTCATAGGTATGCTATTAGTAGACTTGCTGTATGTAGATAGTAGGGATGAATTAAGTAGCACAATAAAAGTGATGGATAAAGACATAAGACAGAAAAAAAGAACTCGTAACTGCCATGCAAAGCAATGGCCCACAACACCAAGTGTATGTGCCATGTAGGGCATCCCAGAGGTTGTCCATATCATGGCAAGGCTGGTCGCCATTGCAAATAGCCTCACAGGGTGGTAGCTTGCACTGCTTGACCCATTCTATTAGGTCCCATGGGTGCTTGCGAGAAGTAGCAATTTCGGCGATGCATTCATCAAAAAATCGTGCTTGGTGTCCTTACACGCCTTCTTGAATTTGTTGTAATCAGCTAGCAAATGGCTCAGCTGATATACTCCGAATGTCCCTGAGCACTTGTCCGTCCACCAGGACTTGGAACGCTTGGTAGGTTTGGACTCGGTTGAATGGGCAAGCTACACATCCAAGAATGCTGTTGCAATAGCATCAGCTAAAGCTTCAATGCCTTCCTTGGTTGCTGGGGCTGCGACAGGAATAGCTGCAAGATCCTGGAGAATATCCGAAATGAAAGACTTTTCAGCCTCGCTTCCAGGTTTAATTGTCTGACGCCCAGATCCAGGTAGTTCAGGACTGATATCAAGATCTGTACAGATCAGGACATGATCTGATGGACCCTGGAGATTGTGCTCCAATCTGGGCATCAAGATTAAGATCTCAGATGGAGCTAAGAATACAAGATCCAACACATTGGATCTCTGGTTGGGATTAGGACTGATCCTCGTCGGTCCATGATTAGAAGGTTGTGCCCACTCAAGGCCGATCTGAGATGCGGTGTCCTGCAGGGATATTGCTGTTGACGACTCACCATGCTCATAGTCATCCCAAGTCATTGAAACACAGTTAAAGTCTGCCATGTAAATGAAAGGCGGAAGAGAATGCACACGAGCAGCCAGGTGCTCGATGGCTGTATGCTGATCATCAGAGTAGACGTTCATGACATTGCCTCTTTCTCTCAAATGCCCACTTGTCAACAAGCATAAACAACCAGCTCATTGTCTCTTTCGTTGTCCAACGCTTTATCGACTTGCCAGACCTCACCGCCTGATTGTTTGTACCACCTTAGCAACCAATGTCTGACCTCCCACTGAGAGGTTGGGGCATGAGACGCCCTGGGATTCGTTGTAGGGGCTCAGGCTCTGCCCCACCAGCACCACCACCAACATTGGCGGCTGGCTCATCGTCCTTGGGCGGTGGTGCCTCACCAATCTCACCAGACCCTACCTCAACTAGGGCCACATACTCGATGATCGTCCCGACTTGATCCTGCCACACGTCACCTTGACGCAGGTCCCGTTCCACCACAGGTTCCACCCATTCATCTGCAGATGAGTCTGACTCAGGGACGGCCCACCCCCAGGAGATGGAGGTTGAGGGCACTCAGGAAGGCGAAGAGGTCTCGAGGGACCCCTCTGTTGACCTCCTCTTAGGTCAATACACCTTGAAGTTCTGAGACACAATCAAGGATCTTCCTGGTGATCTCGAGGTATTGACCACCTCCATTGTGAAAGCCACAGACTGGGTGCTGCGGGCTGCGCATCATGATCTGCTCTCCATCAATGGGGGTGATGCCTTCGCGTCCCAGATGATGTCTTTCATAAACGCCCTCATGGCCACCGACTTTAGTCGAATTCGCGGACCAGATGAGCTCGACAACTTCTCGCTCACCTCTCTCCTCAAGGCTGAGACTTCTTTCAAAGACGAGCCGACCATCCACCTGGCTCCCATGGGCCACTCAATGAGGGTGTTGTTGACATAGGGGCTCCACCTGACATCCTCATGCAGTGGACGACCTCGGTCACCTGGCCTTCCCTTCTCGCATCCCCGCTTCCAAGAAGCATAAGGGTGTTGATTGTCTGGTGCTGCCTCCTCAGAAGAAGAAGAGCAAGGTGGCCTACTCCCGCCCTGGTCTGCCCCCGCCAATCAATCACGCCACTAAACCCAAGCCCTGTCCAACGACATGGGCAGGGATTGCCTGACAGGCTGCTCCAATGCCTCCCCCACCTCCCGGCTTGGGACCGCAGCATCACAGGCCTTCTCCTCCACCTGCATTCCTGACTGGGCCGATGAAGGCTTCCCCTCATCGATCCGTCCCTTCTTTCACTTCCGAGGGCCCCACCTGGAAGCAAGTTCTCATGTCGTTTGGGGGTACCCCTCCCAACCTCACAAAGTTTTTCACCGAGTCAGCTGTATGTGCAGCCAACGGGTACCTTAGGGATGGTCGATCTATGTTGAAGGTCACCTCCATTGTCCACACCTACAACAGCTTGTCATTGGTCACCCCTGCTGTTGCCAGCCTGTCTGACCTGGACATTCTGCGCAACTTCATCCACGAGAGCCTCCCAACGGGTACTCCGTTCGAGGTTGCGCTCCCATCGTCGACGTCCTTTATAAAGATACTTGATGTTCCCTACTTTGACCCCAAAGGGCTGAAGATCACCCAGGAGGCGCTTGAAAAGGCCCTCCATACCTCAGTTCATGCTGAGGTCTTCATGTATCTGAGCACCAAGCCTCAGATCGATCGCAATTCGGCACACTCGACATCGTGCACCGTCTATTGCAATGTCTGGGACTCCCAGCAGGGAACCCATGCCAAGATGGCCCTTGGCCAACCGATCTTCCTCGCTGGGCAGTCCTGTGCAATCAGGCCCGCTGCGCAACATACTGGAGTCCTGCTCTGCCAGCGCTGCTGGAAGTGGGGCCACCCTACCGTTGCCTGCAAGGTGAAGCAGCTTAGCTGCCCTATCTGCTCGGGTCCACACAAGCAGAAGGAACATCGCCAACATGCAGGATGTTGCAAGGGGAACACGAAAGTGAAGCCCCCTGTGCTGCCCACCCCTCACGACCAGCCCTGCCCCCACAAGGGCCACTGTGTCAACTGCCACAAGGACCATGCTGCCAACTCAGCTTTGTGCAAGTTCTGGGCCCATTGCTATGACCGTGAGTGGATCATGGCCGAGTATCATCAGGTACATGAGCACGCTGCTCACTGCCAACTTACTAACCCCCAAACCTAGACCAATGTTGGGAAACCTACAGGATCTAAGTAGTGGTTTACGTATTTATTGTCAGAACATTTGTCATACCTATGCCCACTTCAATACTGTCCTCGAAATTTGTAAAACCAAATTTGATATTTTATTTTTTCAAGAGACTCCTTGGAATTTCATAAGACATGCACCGTCCACCACCACCATGGAGGGCGATGAGGTTATCAGTGCACCAAAGCATCCAGACTGGCTGCAGATGGTGCACATTAAGGAAGGGGAAGTCCCTTGTGTGATTGCCTATGTTTCAACTAGGCTCTCCCGCTATTGTCCTGCTATGCACCGCGACATCGTCAACCATCACGACATCCTCATCCTCTCCCTCTTTAGTGGGGTGAGGTTCTTAATCTCATGAACATCTACTCTGACGATCAACACACAGCCATCAAGCACCTTGCTTCTCATGTGCATTCTCTACCGCCCTTCATCTACATGGCAGGCAACTTTAACTGCGTCTCGACAACTTGGTGTTAAACTTATGCAACGAAGTGGATAGTGATACACTGATCACACAACAATCACAATAAGCGCAGTAACCAATGATAAGGTGAATAATCAAGTGTATTGCAAGTTTAAGCCAACAGTTCAATCATAGTGTACCTGCTTCCAGGACATGGTAGGAAATCTGACCTGTTTGGTCAGCCATGTCAGCTAAAAATCTATATCAAACCCTGTGTTTAGCCAGTGTGACCTCACATGTCCAGACTGTGTTTGAGCAGTCAGGTTTTCCGAGGCTGCTGGGGTGAGTTTGCCGGGGATGCCAGGGCCATAGAGATTTGTTTGGGGATGGGAGAGGGTAAATAAATGACCAAACAACCCTCCTGGGGGTGGGGCAGGGGTAGGGTAGGCCTGTGGGGGGCGGGGGAATAACTGA